CTGGCACTGGGAACAACTTGAGAGTCACTGGAACCCTGTCACACAAAATATCTGTCCAGAGAGCTCTGTTTCTGGCATTTTAAGATTTGTCTGAAGTGGGACACAACACTGTCATTGTACATGTTGCCAATATGGCCTGCAACAACTTTGTTAGGGTGAAGTTCATCCATAAATGTTTGCACTTCAGTCCATTTTGCACAAATGTCCTTAATCTTTGAAGAAGCACCTTCTTCCATCTCTCTTTCTCCTCTTCCTCCTCTGCAGCAGTTTCCTGAGCTGTGATCTGTTGCTGTTGCAGATGAAGCTCTTGCAGCTCTTCAGTGGTTAGCTCTTCCCTGTGGTCCTCCACCAACTCTTCCACATCCTCACCACTTACCTCCAATCCCAGGGACATACCCAATGCCACAATAGATTCCACAACTGGCATAGGCTCCTTAGGGTCAGCCCCAAACCTTCAAAATCCCTCTCTTCTACACATTCTGCCCACAATTTTCTCCAAGCAGAGTTCAAAGTCCTGGAAGTCACTCCCTCCCCAAGACTTACCTATAAGGTTTATGCAATGGAGGATATAAAGTGATCTTTCTAGAACTCTCTTAAGGTCAATTCTGTGTCTGAGGTCACTTCAAAGCACTTTTCAAACACTGCTTTTGTGTAGAGTTTTTTTAAGTTTGAAATGACCTGCTGGTCCATGAGCTGGAGGAGAGGAGTTGTATTAGGGGGCAAGAACTTCACCGTGATGAAAGTAAACTCCACTATATGCTCTTCCAAGTCTGGAGGATGAGCAGGAGCATTGTCCATTACCAGGAGGCACTTGAGTGACAGTTTATTTTCCAGGAGGTATTTCTTCACACTGGGGCCAAACACTTCATTAAACCAGTCTAGGAAAATATCCTTTGTGACCCATGCCTTACTGTTAGCCTTCCACATCACACACAAATTACTCTTGGCGACACTGTTTTTCTTGAACACTCTGGGATTTTCAGAATGATACACCAGTAAAGGCTTCACTTTAAAATCCCCACTAGCATTATACAAAACATGAGAGTAAGCCTATCCTTCATAGGCTTGTGTCCTGGGAGTGCCGTTTCCTCCTGCGTGATGTAGGTCCTCTTTGGCATTTTCTTCCAATAGAGGCCTGTTTTGTCACAATTAAACACTTGTTGGGGTTTGAATTCTCCAGTGTCTATGCACTCCTTAAACTCCTGTACAAACTTCTCAGCTGCAATTTTGTCAGAACTGGCAGCCTCACCATGTCACACTGTGAATGCCACTACCCTTCTTAAATCTCTCAAACCAACCTTTGCTGGCCTTAAAATCACAAGCATCACCACTTGTTGCAGGCATTTTCTTTAATAGATCGTCATGCAACTGCCTTGCCTTTTCACATATCGACTGCGTAACACTATCTCCTGCTAACTGTTTTTCAGTAATCCACACCAACAATAACCTCTCCACTTCTTCGAGGATTTGTGATCTCCGTTTTGTCAGCATATCTTCCCCTTTTGCAACAACAGCACACTTTATTTCCTTTCCTTTCGCCACGATCAAAGTGATGGTTGAATGGGGTTTGCCATACATCCTGGCAAGCTCTGTAACACGCACTCCACTCTCATATTTTTCAATGATTTCCTTCTTGAATTCGATCATGTTCCTCACTTTCTTTACCAAAGGGCTTGCACTAGCTTTCCTTGGGCCCATGGTGACTTATTTAGTAGTTGCAATTACAAAAAACAATGGATTATTACGTAAGAACCCGCGGGGTGATGGTCACGTGTTGGTAAACAATGGCACACTGAGCGTGAATGGCGTCGGAGACTGGCTTTGTGTGCACGGTGATGGGCAGACGGGTACCGGACGGTTGCCGAATCATGAGTCTAATCACAAACTGCGAGGCCAAATTTTGCCGAAAAAACTTGCCAAAAGTCGGATTTCACGAAAGTTGATGCTGCCGAAACTTGAGGGTCCACTGTATATTGTTTATTATGTCATATTAGATGAATTGTGATAGATAAATAAGCCGTACAGTTGATAATAGCATCATATTCAAGTATTTTTTCTTGTCTCTCCAGAGTGCAGGAACGGATTAATGGCTTTTCGTTTAATTTAAATGAGGAAAATTAATTTGATATATGAGTAAATTGAGTTATGAACTAGCTTCTGGAACAGATTAAACTCGTAAGTCAAGCTTCCACTGTATTTCAGTTTGATGGGTCATCACTGGGTCATAATGTTTTTGTCCTGTGTGAAAGTCAGCTAAGAAACAAGTTGCAATGAATGTATTTCCTTCTTTGGGTCACCCTGTCTTTTATAACACACCGGCCATCTCCCACCAAGGTAGGGTGACCCATAAGAAGAAACACTTTTACTATCTTTCACCCTATTCCTCTTTTACCACAGGCATGCCAGTACTACAGTTCATATACCCCTCCAAACTGCAGATATCCCCATACCTCCTTCAGAGTGTAGGCAATGTACTTCCCATCTCCTGGACTCAAGTTCGACTAACTGGTTTCCTTGAATCCTTTCACAAAATGTTTCCTTGTTCATACTCCAACAGCTTGTTAAGTCCCAGAAACTATTTGCCTCCACTCCTATCTAGCATGCTCACACAAGCCTGATGGATGTTCAAACCCCTCGCACACAAAACCTCCTTTGTCCCCTTCCTCGAACCTTTCCTAGGACGACTCCTACTCCATCTTTCCTCCACTCCAAATCATTTCAACAGACCCTCCTCAGCCATCTGGCTAATACTTTTAGTAGCCCTGCACCTCTTAATCTCTAAGATACAAATTCTCTGCATAATATTTACACAATGCATTGCCCTCAGACACAATATCTCACTGTCTCCAGCATCCTTCTTGTTGCAACATTCATAACCCATTCTTCACACCTGTATAAGGGTGTTGGTACCACTGTACTTTCATACATTTTCCTTTTTGCCTCCATGGATAGCATTCTTTATCTCCACTAAGTACTATTATGATCATTATATTCATGGGGAAGTGCTAAACCCATAGTGGCTGTACAGCACCTTGGGAATGGGTGATAATCAAGTTTGATCTAAGGAAATGGAGAGTAACTCAAATTCCTTAGATCGAGAACCCTTCAGCATTGAAATGAAAAACAATTATTCTGTTATTATGTGTTAGGATATAACATTCAGTGTTTATTAAAGTGTTAAAAGATGTCACCAATGATGTTATAAGCAAAGGAAGAGACCCAGAATCTTACAAGTTAGATAAGTCTTATATGAGAGGGAGAGCCATTGTAATGGTAATTCCTCAGACCCTCTCTAGAAAATTTGTAATTTCTACTGATGGATTAGTTTTTGTATATAGTCCTAAAAAGATTGTATTTTATGATTTCTTTTTTAGTGAAATATAGTTTTGGCTAACCTACAGTCTCTGGAAAAAATCTTTCCTACAAGACAATGAATAAAGCATCTAGTAATTTAATGAGCCCTATTAAGAAACTTTAAAAGTACAAAACATCAATATTTAGTCATTTAACTATCATCTTTCATTTCTTTTTAATCCTGTCTTGTACTGAATCATTTAATTTCTGGAAATAAATCAGATACATATTAATCCATATTTTTTCAGGACCTCCACCAACTTTGAGTTGCTGGAGATTTGGTGTTCTACTACATTGTATTTCAGCACTTGCCATGAATTTTTTATCATTCTGAGATCTGGGTTGTTACCTGGCTACTCCAAAACATGAATTTCATGGTGTCTCATCCAATCCTTGACCTTTTTGCTGTGGTGGCAAGGGGCTACATCATGCTTAATGGTGCTGGTGCCATAAATATGGTAGTGAGTGAGATTTTTAATCATGGACTTGTAAATATTTCTTTCCAATCATCATTTTGCCATTGGACAAGCAATAAAGACCACTATGGGCACCATTGCTACTAAAACACTCTCAAACCATGACCTTGGCAAGGTGGAAATAAAAACACTTAAGCAGTATAATGTGATTCTTTATTGACGTTTCGCCCACGCAGTGGGTTTTATCAGGTCACCATTTATTTCCACCTTGGCAGGGTGTCTGACTATTCTGATTGTGAAAGAATAGTAAAACCTTGAAGAGCCACTTGGAAGACAAGCCCACTTTGAGACATTTCTGATGACAAAAAAATGCCAAATCATCACTAAACATGTTTCTCCAATCATCTATGATCCATTCCTTGTGCTGTTCACATAAAGCAAAAACAAGCTTTGCACATATTTTTGGTGATAAGGGCTTTCTTGGCAGTCCTTTCATATGGCATCCTCAGATCCTTTTGTAGGTGATGTTGGAAAATGCACAGAGTCACCTCTTCCAAGATATCAGGATGCTTGTTTTTTTTTTGTTCGTGAGCAGTAATTGTAAGCTTCAACATATGTTCCTTCTTCAAAAGAGCATCAGTGCATGGGGTGGTCTTCCTGGACTTACCAGACCATTTTCCTTAATGGGAGTGATGCTGTGAGGAAGATTGCTTGCAGCTTTTGTAGGTTCCAGATAGTGTGATGTGCATCCCAACCTCTCAGCAATATCCTTCACAGGGACTTCCTCTTTCTTAAGAGTATTGACATGAGTCTTCTTCAAATAAAGCATCCACTGACGACGTTTTGATCCACAGGAAAACCTGTAGGTGGCAGCAAATGTGGACAATCAAGAAGGACAAAGGGATGAAGCATGACAACACCTTCCTATAACATGGACTATAGCTTACTGAGAACTTTACTCTTTTGTTTCATGTTTATCTGACTTGAGGGGGATGCCGGACATATGATTATATCTGATTCATTTTCTTTACATAGTTGGAATCACTAAGAAAAATGTTTGGTACTCAAGCAGCAGCAAATTTTTTTTTTTTTTTTTTTTTTTTTTTTGCATTTCATGACAAAGATTTTTTTTACAGAGACTATATACTCTAATCTTTTCATTTGACTATGATATCTTTGATGGTGAAGCTTTTTAATATTAAGTTACTTTTAAGCTTTATTTATTCACAGTGTGGATCATTCCTGGGGAACTGCCTATGGCCACTACCAGTTCCTTAATCTACAGATCAATCAGAACAACCAGCTGGCTTACCTAAGAAGCCAAGAAATAAGTACCACTACCCCTGAGGGTGATTGCTTCCAGTTTTGGTTCTATCTCTATTCGGTTAAGTATGTTAATTGCATTTACTTTTTATGTTTGTTTTTTTTTTGTATTAAGATATATAGTTGTACTGACTTAATTGTCAATTAATTAATCACTGTAAAATTGTTGGTACTGGTAATTCATTGCATATACAGATGTAAGTAATATTACTTTACAGCACTATAGTTATAGAAATGATTTGCAGTGTGCTCACCTAATTGCTTATTAGGAGTGAGCTTAGTTTATGAGCCTTACCTTTTAACAATTAATAAACTAGTATGATGCATCTCTAATTCCTAACTGTCATGCATATATTGTATTTAAATTCATTTTGTAGTTCTTTTCACTTGCTCACTACCCTCTAACTGAAGTTCCTTCTTGTATTTCTTTGGTTTATTTGGGTTTTTAATGGATGTTCTGTTAGATTAAAAAATGAAGTGTATATCAATGAGTGCTTGACGAGAAAACATCAGAACCTTTTGTTCAGATTGAGAAAACTTAAATGGGAAAATAGTGACAAAATCCATCTGTGCTTCACTTGAGATGGGAAAATTCTGTTGAGAAAAACAGATGTAGGCCATTTATATACTATCACAAATGAACATGATCTATCCAACATCCTTAGAGATGCAGATCTTACCGAGACTGTTTAACCAATTCGTCCCTAACATTATTATTTATGTGTAGTGTATGTTCCTACTACATTATCGTTCCTACTACATTATTGTACTATCATATATTAGTTAGTACCAAGTACCTCATGTCCTATGTTTTTTGTGCTATTGCTTGCTTAAATTTTGTGTTATAAGTCAAAAATCTTATTGTGCATTTATTACTTTATACCTCACAACCTGCCTTCCAAGCCTTTAAGTGCAGGCCATCACTTTCTGCAGAGCTACATTTTTTTTTTTTCAAAAAGTCGGCCGTCTCCCACCGAGGCAGGGTGAACCAAAAAGAAAGAAAATCCCCAAAAAGAAAATACTTTCATCATCATTTAACACTTTCACCTCACTCACACATAATCACTGTTTTTGCAGAGGTGCTCAGAACACAACAGTTTAGAAGCATATATGTATAAAGATACACAACATATCCCTCCAAACTGCTAATATCCCAAACCCCTCCTTTAGAGTGCAGGAATTGTACTTCCCATTTCCAGGACTAAAGTCCGGCTATATAAAAATAACCGGTTTCCCTGATTCCCTTCACTAAATATTACCCTGCTCACACTCCAACAGATCATTAGGTCCCAAATACCATTCGTCTCCATTCACTCCTATCGAACACGCTCATGCATGCCTGCTGGAAGTCCAAGCCCCTTGCCCACAAAACCTCCCTTACCCCTTCCTTTCAACCTTTTCGAGGACGACCCCTACCCCGCCTTCCTTCTCCTACAAATTTAAATGCTCTCCATGTCATTCTACTTTGATCCATTCTCTCTAAATGACCAAACCACCTCAACAACCCCTCTTCAGCCCTCTGACTAATACTTGTATTAACTCCACACCTTCTCCTAATTTCCACACTATGAATTTTCTGCATAATATTTACATCACACATTGCCCTTAGACAGGACATCTCCACTGCCTCCAACCACCTCCTCGCTGCTGCATTCACAACCCAAGCTTCACACCCATATAAGAGTGTTGGTACTACTATACTTTCATACATTCCCTTCTTTGCCTCCATAGATAACGTTTTTTGACTCCACATATACCTCAACGCACCACTCACCTTTTTTCCCTCATCAGTTCTATGATTAACCTCATCCTTCATAAATCCATCCGCCAACACGTCAACTCCCAAGTATCTGAAAACATTCACTTCTTCCATACTCCTCCTCCCCAATTTTTCTTTATCTAAAACATTTGATACCCTCATCACGTTACTCTTTTCTATGTTCTCTTTCAACTTTCTGCCTTTACACACACTCCCAAACTCATCCACTAACCTTCGCAATTTTTCTTTAGAATCTCCCATAAGCACAGTATCATCAGCAAAAAGTAACTGTGTCAATTCCCATTTTGTATTTAATTCCCCATAATTTAATCCCACCCCTCTCCCAAACACCCTAGCATTTACTTCTTTTACAACCCCATCTATAAATATATTAAACAACCATGGTGACATTACACATCCCTGTCTAAGACCTACTTTTACCAGGAAGTAGTCTCCCTCTCTTCTACACACCCTAACCTGAGCCTCACTATCCTCATAAAAACTCTTTACAGCATTTAGTAACTTACCACCTATTCCATATACTTGCAACATCTGCCACATTGCTCCCCTATCCACTCAATCATATGCCTTTTCTAAATCCATAAATGCAATAAAAACTCCCCTACCTTTATCTAAATACTGTTCACATATATGCTTCAATGTAAACACTTGATGTACACATCCCCTACCCACTCTAAAACCTCCTTGCTCATCCGCAATCCTACATTCTGTCTTACCTCTAATTCTTTCAATAATAACTCTTCCGTACACTTTTCCTGGTATACTCAGTAAACTTATTCCTCTAAAATTTTTACAATCTCTTTTGTCCCCCTTCCCTTTATATAAAGGGACTGTACATGCTCTCTGCCAATCCCTAGGTACCTTCCCCTCTTTCATACATTTATTAAACAAAAGTACCAACCACTCCAACACTATATCCCCCCTGCTTTTAACATTTCTGTCATGATCCCATCAGTTCCAGCTGCTTTACCCCCTTTCATTCTACGTAATGCCTCACGTACCTCCTCCACACTTACATTCTGCTCTTCTTCACTCTTAAAAGATGGTATACCTCCCTGACCAGTGCATGAAATTGCTGCCTCCCTTTCTTCCTCAACATTTAAAAGTTCCTCAAAATATTCTCGCCATCTACCTAATACCTCCCTCTCCCCATCTACTAACTCCCCTACTATGTTTTTACCTGAAAAATCCATACGTTCCCTAGGCTTTCTTAACTTGTTTAACTCGCTCCATTATTATTATTATAATCAAGGGGGAAGCGCTAAACCCGGAGGATTATACAGAGCCTGGGGGGGGATGTGGAAGGCATTCTGGCTTAATTCAGGGAACTGGAGCACAGATCCAATTCCCTAAATCAAGAGCCCCTCACCAACATCAAGGAACCTTCCTTGAGGGGTTAACTCACTCCAAGATTTTTTTTTTTTTTTTTTTCTTGTTTTCATTAAAATTTCTTGACACTGCCTCTCCCACTCTATCTTCTGCTCTTTTTTTGCACTCTCTTCACCTTTCTTTTACTCTCCATATACTCTGCTCTTCTTATAACACTTCTGCTTTGTAAAAACCTCTCATAAGCTACCTTTTTCTCTTTTATCACACCCTTTACTTCATCATTCCACCAATCACTCCTCTTTCCTCCTGCCCCCACCCTCCTATAACCACAAACTTCTGCCCCACATTCTAATACTGCATTTTTAAAACTCATCCAACCCTCTTCAACCTCCCCACTACTCATCTTTGCACTAGCCCACCTTTCTGCCAGTAGTCGCTTATATCTCACCCGAACTTCCTCCTCCCTTAGTTTATACACTTTCACTTCCCTCGTACTTGTTGTTGCCACCTTCCTCTTGTCCCGTCTACCTCTTACTCTAACTGTAGCTACAACTAAATAATGATCCGATATATCAGTTGCCCCTCCATAAAATGTACATCCTGGAGCCTACCCATTAACCTTTTATCCACCAATACATAATCTAACAAACTACTTTCATTACGTGCTACATCATACCTTGTATATTTATTTATCCTCTTTTTCATAAAATATGTATTACTTATTACCAAATCTCTTTCTACACATAACTCAATTAAAGGCTCCCCATTTACATTTACCCCTGGCACCCCAAATTTACTTACTACTCCCTCCACAGCATTTTTACCCACTTTAGAATTGAAATCCCCAACCACAAGTACTCTCACACTTGGGTCAAAACTCCCCACGCATTCACTGAACATTTCCCAAAATCTCTCTATCTCCTCTGTACTTCTCTCTTCTCCAGGTGCATATACGCTTACTATAACCCACTTTTCACCTCCAACCTTTATTTTACTCCACATAATCCTTGAATTAATACATTTGTAGTCCCTCTTTTCCTGCCATATCTTATCCTTCAACATTATTGCTACTCGTTCTTTAGCTCTAACTCTATTTGAAACCCCTGACCTAATCCCATTTATTCCTCTCCTCTGAAGCTCTCCCACCCCTTTCAGCTTTGTTTCACTTAAAGCCAGGACATCCAGCTTCTTCTCATTCATAACATCCACAATCATCTCTTTCTTATCATTTGCACAACATCCACGCACATTCAGACTTCCCACTGACAATTTTCTTCTTCTTATTCTTTTTAGTAATCTTTACAGGAAAAGGGGTTACTAGCCCATTGTTCCCGGCATTTTAGTTGACTTTTACAACATGCATGGCTTACGGAGGAAAGATTCTTATTCCACTTCCCCATGGATATAAAAGGAAAAATAATAAGACCAAGAACTATTAAGATAAAATCAAAGAAAACTCAGATGAGTGTGTATAAATAAACGTGTACATGTATGTGTAGTGTGACCTAAGTGTAAGTAGAAGTAGCAAGACATACCTGTAGTCTTGCGTATTTACGAGGCAGACAAAAGACACCAGCAATCCTACTATCATGTAAAACAATTACAGGCTTTCGTTTTACACTCACTTGGCAGGACGGTAGTACCTCCCTCGGCGGTTGCTGTCTACCAACCTACTACCTACAGGAGCTACATTTACTTCTTTTTATTCATTTAATATCAAATTTTACCATTTAAATTTTGTTTAATACATTTTACTATTTATTTTTTATTAACACATCGGCCATCTCCCACCAAGACAGGGTGGCCCAAAAATGAAAAACTTTCATCATCGTTTACTCCATCACTGTCTTGCCAGAGGTGTGCTTACACTACAATTATAAAACTGCAGCATTAACACCTCTCCTTCAGAGTGCAGACTCTGTACTTCCCATCTCCAAGACTCAAGTCCGGCCTGCCGGTTTCCCTGAATACCTTCATAAATGTTATCATGCTAACACTCCAACAGGACATCAAGTCCTAAAAACCAGTAGTCTCCATTTGATCCTATCTAACATGCTCATGCATGCGTGCTGGAAGTCCAAACCCGTCGCACACAAACCCTCTTTTACCCCCTCCCTCCAACCATTCCTAGGCCAACCCCTACCCCGCCTTCCCTCCACTACAGATTTATACACTCCAAGTCATTCTATTTTGTTGAAGCCTCTCTACATGTCTGAACCACCTCAACAACCCTTCCTCAGCCCTCTGGATAATAGTTTTCGTAATCCCACACCTACTCCTAATTTCCAAACTACGAATTCTCTGCATTATATTCACACCACACATTGCTCTCAGACATGACATCTCCACTGCCTCCAGTCTTCTCCTTGTTGCAACATTCACCACCCATGTTTCACACCCATATATGAGCATTGGTATAACTATACTCTCATACATTTCCCTCTTTGTTTCCATGGACAAAGTTCTTTGTCTCCACAGACGCCTAAGTGCACCACTCAAACTTTTCCCCCTCATCAATTCTGTGAGTCACCTCATCTTTCATAGATCCATCTGCTGACATGTCCACTCCTAAATATCTGAATACATTCACCTCCTCCATACTCTTCCTCCAGTCTGATATCCAATCTTTCATCACCTAATTTTTTTTGTTATGCTCATTACCTTACTCTTTCCTATATTCACTTTTAGTTTTCTTCTTTTACATACCCTACTAAACTCATCCACCAACCTCTGCAACTTCTCTTGAGACTCTCCCAAAAGCACAGTGTCATCAGCAAAGAGCAACTATGACAACTCCCACTTTGTGTTAGATTCTTTATCTTTTTCCCCACACCTCTTGCCAACACCCAAACATTCACTTCTCTTACAATCCCATCTATAAATATATTGAACAACCATGGTGACATCACACATCCTTGTCTAAGGCCTGCTTTTACAGTGAAATAATCTCCCTCTTTCCTACGTATTCTAACCTGAGCTTCACTGTCCTCATGAAAACTCTTCACTGCTTTCAGTACCCTACCTCCTATTCTATACATTTGCAACATCTGCCACATTTCTCCTCTATCCACCCTGTCATATGCCTTTTTCAAATCTATAAATGCCACAAAAACCTTTTTACCCTTATCTAAATACTGTTTACCTATATGTTTCACTGTAAACACTTGGTCTACACACCCCCTACCTATCCTGAAGCCTCCCTGTTCATCTTGGCCCCTCAGGGAAGGTTCGTAGATGCTGGTGAGGGTGCTTGAGTTCCCTGAATTAAAGCTGAATACCTTCCACATCCCCCCACAGGTGCTGTATAATCCTGTGGGTTTAGTGCTTTCTCCTTGTTTATAATAATAATAATAATCCTTGTTCATCTGCTATCCTACTCTCCATCTTACTCTTAATTCTTTCAATAACTCTGCCATACACTTTACCAGGTATACTCAACAAACTATTACTCTCTAATTTTTGCACTTTCTTTTGTCCCCTTTTCCTTTATACAAAGGAACTATGCATGCTTTCTGCCAATCCATAGGTACCTTACCTCTTCCATACATTTATTAAATAAAAGCACCAACCACTCCAAAACCATATCCCCAACTGCTTTTAACATAAATATTTTTATTCCATCAATCCCTGCTGCCTTACCCCCTTTAATTCTACCCACTGCCTCAGGAACTTCCCCCACACTCACAACTGGCTCTTCCTCACTCCTACAAGATGTTATTCCTCCTTGCATAATACACGATATCATAGCTTCTCTATCTTCATGAACATTTAACAGTTCTTCAAAATATTCCCTCCCTCTTCTGATACCTCTAACTCTTCATTTAATAACTCTCCTCTCCTATTTTTAACTGTCAAATCCATTCATTCCCTAAGCTTCTTCAACTTATTAATCTCACTCCAAAACTTTTTCTTAGTTTCAACAAAATTTGTTGATAACATGTCACCTACTCTTTCATTTGCTCTCTTTTTATATTGCTTCACCACTCTCTTAAAATTTCTTTTTCTCTCCATATACTCCTCCCTCCTTGCATCACTTCTATTTTGTAAAAGCCTCTCATATGCTAACTTTTTCTCCCTTACTACTCTCTTTACATCATCATTCCACCAGTCACTTTTCTTCCCTCCCACGCCCACTTTCCTGTAACCACAAACTTCTGCTGAACATTCTAACACGGCATTCTTAAACCTACCCTATACATCTTCGACCCCATTGCCTATGCTCTCACTAGCCCATCTGTCCTCCAATAGTTGTTATCTTACCCTAACTGCCTCCTCTTTTAGTTTATAAACCTTCACCTCTCTGTTACTTGCTCCTTCTATTTTCCTTGTATCCCATCTACATTTTACTCTCACTGTAGCTACAACCAAAAAGTGATCTGATGTATCTGTGGCCCCTCTATGAACATGTACAACCTGAAGTCTACTCAACAGTCATTTTATCTACCAATACATAGCCCAACAAACTACTGTCATTATGCCCTACATCATATCTTGTAAATTATTTATTCTCTTTTTCTTAAAATATGTATTACCTATAACCAGACCCCTTCCTATACAAAGTTCAATCAAAAGGCCCCCATTATCATTTACACTTGGCACCCCAAACTTATCTACCATACCCTCTCTAAATGTTTCTCCTACTTTAGTATTTAGGTTCCCTACCACAATTACTCTCTCACTTGGTTCAAAAGTTCCTACACACTCGCTTAGCATCTCCCAAAATCTCTCTCTCCTCTACACTTTTCTCTTTTCCAGGTGCATACACACTTATTATGACCCACTTTTTGCATCCAACCCTTATTTTAATCTACATTATATTTGAATTTATACATTTATATTTCCTCTTCTCCTTCCATAACTGATCCTTCAACATTTTTGCTACCCCTTCCTTAGCTCTAACTCTCTCAGATACTCCTGACTTAATCTCATTTATTTCTACTTGCTGAAACTCACCTAGCCCCTTCACCTTTGTTTCACTTAGAGCTAGGACATCCAACTTCTTTTCATTCATAACATTAGCAATCATCTCTTTCTTATCATTCGCACTACATCCACGCATTTTCAAGCATCAAAGCGATACACAAAGTCAGTTTAGCTTCAGGCATGGACAAAGTGCTAATGACTCAAAAATAAAAATGCTTAACTATTCCTCTCCTAAAAGTAATGAATATCCAATAGGCCTCTTTATCAACCTAAAAAAAAGGCCATTGTTGTAGTAAATCACATTAAACTGCTCAGATTAGAATATTATGGAATAAGAGGACATGCTGTCTCATACTTGAAATCTTACTTGGGTAACAGACATCAACATGTGACCATTAATCCATTTATGACAGTTCTTCAATAACCCAACCAATCAACTGGGGTCCTCTTCTATTCCTTATCTACATCATTGATTTTTCCTAGGATGAGCCCTTACTCTCCTTTCCTCCATCTCAGGTTTAAACACCCTCCTGATCATCCTTTTTTTTTTTTTTTTTTTTTTTTTTTTTTTTTTTTTTTTTTTTTTTTTTTTTTTTTTTTTTTTTTTTTTTTTTTTTTTTTTTTTGTCTTCTCAAAATGCTGTGCATAATATGTACTGAATTGAATTGAATTTAAGGTACGGTAGTACCCCAAACAAATTAAAATTCTTTCCAGGTACAGTTATGGTGACCTAAAAAGAAAACAAAAGTTTTTCTGTTTAGATTTAGTAATTTATACAGGAGAAGGGGTTACCAGCCCCTTGCTCCATTTTGTGTATTATATGCATGATTTATTTAAAAATTAGTTGATAATTTATTTTCTGTGTCAGCCTCATAGACCATCTAGTTTATTGATTTTGTAATTAAAATTTGCAACTATCAGGATCTTTGCTATATCTTAATCAGCATATACTAGTTGTTGTCATAAAATAGGGATATGTATATTACTGAAGTGACAGATGAAAGTTCTGCATTTCCCATTAAGAAATTTTTTATAATATTTGTGCTTCTCTAGATCAGGAGAAGATGTTGGTGAACTAGGTGTGCGTTTGTTAGCCAACCAAACGGTAATGACTGAACGCATTTGGCAACACACATTCAATGGCCGTGATGGATGGCAGTATGGAGAAACAACCATCAAATATGAGACAAATTTCAGTGTAAGAATTCCATGTGATTCATTTCATTGATATTCAGATAATCTTGATTATAAGCAAGAAGCAATGTGCTGTATGTGAATCCTCATTTAATGACCTAGATAAAGACTGAAAGAATGAGGTAATCAAGAACAGGAGGAGAATGAGATAATCAATGGATTGATTACCTCATTCTCCTCCTGTTCTTCACTGAAGGAATGGTTTGTTATGCTGTACATACAAACTATGTGCACTATGGATTTCTTGTGCAAATTGTTATTTTCGGAGATATTAGTGAAAAAAGTGCATTTATTTTGGTTGCACAGTATATCTGAGCAAATTAATGGATAGTATTAACCTTTTTACGCACTTGCCCAAACATAAACAACTATGCATATCTGCTGATGGCAGAGTATGGTTAAGTTATGTAGGTTATTGAGGCTAGGTAGGTTTCATTAAATTAGGTTATGTTTTAACATTTACTTTATGCCTGGGTGTTTTTTGTTATGTAAATTCTCCAGTATTAAATAGGTTGTACAGATAGACCTAGTTATCATATTATAAATGGTATACATTACCAGCAAGTTAGTAAGTAAAACACATGCAACACCAAGGATCTGTATTGACAAGAATTTGCTACAACCTCCATCACTTAAATACTGAGATGAATTACAATCCAGAAGACAATTGATGAAGTGGAAATCCTGAAAATGGTAGCCAAAGTGGTGAGGTAGTTTGAGGTAAGAAGTGCCGCCTCAACTTTGGTGGAAGATGATCAGTCTAAAGTTATATTTTGTGCTCATGGGAAGCAGATTATTTTTGTATAACCAAACCTAATGTAATCCACCTAACCAAACCTAGAATTTAACTCCTGGTTTAGGCTAGGTTAGGTTAGGTTTTTTTTTTATGTTATTGAACATGGTTGCCAAAAAAGCTTTCTTTCTATTTGCTCAAATTAATATCTGTTTCCATTCCAGAACCCACTTAATATTAGAGAATTAACATAATATATTTTAGTATTATTTTTTCTTATATTGAGTAAAAAACCATTTTCACAACATCCTGCTATTTTTTCATGGTATTTATAGTGTTGTTGTTATGTAATAGTACATATAATATTGCATGTTAGATAGGAGTGAATGGAGACGAATGGTTTTGGGGACCTGACGAGCTGTTGGAGTGTGAGCAGGGTAATATTTAGTGATGGAATTCAGGAAAACCGGTTATTTTTATATAGCTGGACTTGAGTACTGGAAATGGGAGGTACAATGCCTGCACTTTAGAGGAGGGGTTTGGGATAGTGGTAGTTTGGAGGGGTATGTTATGTATCTTTATATATGCTTCTAAACTGTTGTATCTGGGCACCTCTGCAAAAACAGTGATTATGTGTGAATGAGGTGAGTGTTGAATGATGATGAAAGTATTTTTTTGGGGGGGATTTTCTTTCTTTTTGGATCACCCTGCCTCGGTGGGAGATGGCCGACTTGTTGAAAAAAAAAATATTGCAGGAGTTCTGTTCCAGAAAAAAGTAAAAATGTATTTACCCAAACTAAGATCTCATATGTAAAGTCAACTTAATACTGTATTGTAATTCAAACTATAATTAATCAGAGGAATCCACTTAAAAGCAGTTGTTTATTATTACCATAACTGGAGATGGGGACCAAGTTGATAATGTTTTGTATCTGTTTCATATTCTTTCAAAGGTGAAATTTAAAAGATATGTATTCTTCAGAGATAGATCCATTGTTTAGTAGAGGTATAGTAGGATTGTATACCCATTTTTTTTCAGTGCATAACACACACAGACACACACACACACAAAATTTACGGGGTCTGATTGCATTTTGTGGATTGTTGTTCAAAATTATGCAAATGGTCATTAAGCGGGGATCACTTTACACAGGTTTTGTGGAAATAATTTAATAAATACTGTAGTATTATCTCTAATACTGTACATATTGTATGGGCTTTATTAAAACAGGTTGTACTTGAAGGGTTAAGACTTAGTGGATCACAAGGATTTATGGCATGGGATGATCTGACTGTGAAAAGAGGTGCCTGTGAAGCCCCAGGGACATGTGATTTTGAAGGAGGGTTGTGTGGCTGGAAAGATGTACCGGACTCCTATAACAATAACTGGGCTTGGCTTAAGGCAGAAGAAACAAGAGATGGTATGCTAACAGACCACACAACAGGCACTGGAAATGGCAAGTAATTTAAAAATATTCTTATCTCATGAAACTTTAATTAATTTTGTCTTCTTTTTACCCATACAGTTTGGCTACTCTATACAAATACAAATATTTATTTCCTTGTAAAGCTTACAATGTGTGGTTTACATGTTTACAGTTGGATTTGTCAGTTAAAAACAGAGCAGGGGAGTTAGTAGATGGGGAGAAGGAGGTTTTGGATAGATGGCGAGAATATTTTGAGGAACTTTTAAATGTCAACGAAGAAAAGAGGCGGTAATTTCATGCACTGGCCAGGGAGGTATACCATCTTTTAGGAGTGAAAAAGAACAAGATGTGAGTGTGGGGTAGGTGCGTGAGGCATTACGTAGAATGAAAGGGGTAAAGCAGCTGGAACTGATGGGATCATGACAGAAATGTTAAAAGCAGGGGGGCATATAGTGTTGGAGTGGTTGGTACTTTTGTTTAATAAATGTATGAAAGAGGGGAAGGTACCTAGGGATTAGAGGAGAGCATGTATAGCCCCTTTATATAAAGGGAAGGGGGACAAAAGAGTTTTGTAAAAATTATAGAGGAATAAGTTTACTGAGTATACCAGGAAATGTGTACGGTAGGGTTATAATTGAAAGAATTAGAGGTAAGACAGAATGTAGGATTGCGGATGAGCAAGGAGGTTTCAGAGTGGGTAGGGGATGTGTAGATCAAGTGTTTACATTGAAGCATATATGTGAACAGTATTTAGATAAAGGTAGGGAAGTTTTTATTGCATTTATGGATTTAGAAAAGGCATATGATAGAGTGGATAGGGGAGCAATGTGACAGATGTTGCAAGTATATGGAATAGGTGGTAAGTTACTAAATGCTGTAAAGAGTTTTTATGAGGATAGTGAAGCTCAGGTCAGGGTGGGTAAACGAGAGGGAGACTACTTCCCAGTAAAAGTAGGTCTTAGACAGGGATGTGTAATGTCACCATGGTTGTTTAATATATTTATAGATGGGGTAGTAAAAGAAATAAATGCTAGGGTGTTCAGGAGAGGGGTGGGATTAAATTATGGGGAATCAAATACAAAACGGGAAGTGACACAGTTGCTTTTTGCTGATAATACTGTGCTTATGGGAGATTCTAAAGAAAAATTGCAAAGCTTAGTGGACGAGTTTGGGAGTGTGTGTAAAGGTAGAAAGTTGAAAGTGAACATAGAAAAGAGTTAGGTGATGAGGGTATCAAATGATTTTGATAAAGAAAAATTGGATATCAAATTGGGGAGGAGGAGTATGGAAGAAGTGAATGTTTTCAGATACATGTATTTGGAAGTTGATGTATCAGCGGATGGATTTATGAAGGATGAGGTTAATCATAGAATTGATGAGGGAAAAAAGGTGAGTGGTGTGTTGAGGTATATGTGGAGACAAAAAACGTTATCTATGGAGGCAAAGAAGGGAATGTATGAAAGTATAGTAGTACCAACACTACAGGTCTCCCTCAACATTCATGTTTTCAGCTTTCGCAGGCTTCACACGTTCGCGAATTCCCAACTGCCAAATTCCCAGCCACCAAATTCCCAGCCGCCAAATCATATTCAAGTTTCCTGCCACCTGCGAGTCCCTACTACCCTCCCTCCGACCCCCGCAACTGGCAGCCAGCCCTCTCACCACTCAGTGTGGTGAGTGTTTTGTTTGTTCATTATTTGCTATTAAACTACAGTATAAATAATGTAAACACATTCATGACTGCATATTGGAATGGCTATTTGGACAGGTATTGGACGGTGACATCATGTGTTTACTCTTGAACACAGCAAAGAATCAAACATTTCTGCTACTGCTAATAATAACAATAGTAATAATAATAATAATAATAATAATACGATATAATTGAAGAAGGAAATTGTACAAAAATACGAGGGAGTGGTTGACACATCGTCAGTGTGGCTTTGTTTATGCTGGAGTGAACATTAGTCTCCCTGCTCTTCCAAACATTTCACAATAATTCATTGTTTGGTGCTTGTAGATTGAGTGTGACTGGAGTGGTTGAGGCAGTGGTAGAGGTGATTTGAGGCAGTGGTAGAGGCAGTGATAGAGGCAGTGGTAGAGGCAGTGATAGAAGCAGTGATAGAGGCAGTGGTAGAGGCAGTGGTAGAGGCAGTGGTAGAGGCAGTGGTAGAGGCAGTGATAGAGGCAGTGGTAGAGGCAGCGATAGAAGCAGTGATATTTACTAACATATATGTTATAAATAATAATAGTTAGTACATTATGAATAACTATTATTATTATTATAAATGTTATTAATATTAACATGTACTATTATTATTTATAACATATGTATATATTAGTAAATACCACTGCCTCACCCACTGCCTCAACCGCTGAATTATTGTGAAATGTTTGGAAGAGCAGGGAGACTAATGTTCACTCCAGCATAAACAAAGCCACACTGACGATGTGTCAACCACTCCCTCGTATTTTTGTACAATTTCCTTCTTCAATTATTTTTTTTTTTTCAACTATTGTTATTATTAGCAGTAGCAGAAATGTTTGATTCTTTGCTGTGTTCAAGAGTAAACACATGATGTCACCGTCCAATACCTGTTCAAATAGCCATTCCAATATGCAGTCATGAATGTGTTTACATTATTTATACTGTAGTTTAATAGCAAATAATGAACAAACAAAACACTCACCACATTGAGTGGTGGGAGGGCTGGCTGCCAGTTGCGGGGGTTGGAGGGAGGGTAGTAGGGACTCGCATTGGTTGAGGAAGTGGTGGAGGCAGTGGTGGAGTCTGTGGTATTTAATAACATACATGTTATTAAAGCATAGCATGTATATATTTAGTACAACTTACGATGTTTTCATGTATTTTATGATTGTTCATGGTTCAACAAGTTAAGCAGATTTGTATTATATTTCCCTACAATATATTGGGTCACCAAACATTCACGGTTTTTCAACATTCGCGAGGCTCTTGATCCCCTAACCCTCGCCAATGTTGAGGGACACCTGTATATGTAGAAAATTCGGAGTGTGGAAATTAGGTGTGGAGTTAATAAAAGTATTAGTCAGATGGCTGAAGAGGGGTTGTTCAGGTGGTTTGGTCATTTAGAGAGAATGGATTAAAGTAGAATGATATGGAGAGCATTTAAATCTATAGGTGAAGGAAGGCGGGGTAGGGGTCATCCTCAAAAAGGTTGGAAGGAAGGGGTAAGGGAGGTTTTGTGGGCGAGGGGCTTGGACTTGCAGCAGGCATGCGTGAGCGTGTTCGATAGGAATGAATGGAGACGAATGGTATTTGGGACCTGACGATCTGTTGGAGTGTGAGCAGAGTAATATTTAGTGAAGGGATTCAGGGAAACCGGTTATTTTTATATAGCCAGACTTGAGTCCTGGAAATTAGAAGTACAATGCCTGCACTCTAAAGGAAGAGTTAGGGATATTGGCAGTTTGGAGGGGTATATTGTGTATTTTTTTTTTTTTTTCCAACAAGTCGGTCGTCTCCCACTGAGGCAGGGTGACCCAAAAAAGAAAGAAAATCCCCAAAAAGAAAATACTTTCATCATCATTCAACACTTTCACCACACTCACACATTATCACTGCTTTTGCGGAGGTGCCCAGAATACAACAGTTTAGAAGCATATACGTATAAAGATACACAACATATCCCTCCAAACTGCCAATATCCCAAACCACTCCTTTAAAGTGCAGGCATTGTACTTCCCATTTCCAGGACTCAAGTCCGACTATATGAAAATAACCGGTTTCCCTGAATCCCTTCACTAAATATTACCCTGCTCACACTCCAACAGATCGTCAGGTCCCAAGTATCATTCGTCTCCATTCACTCTTATCTAACACGCTCATGCACGCTTGCTGGAAGTCCAAGCCCCTTGCCCACAAAACCTCCTTTACCCCCTCTTTCCAACCCTTTCGAGGACGACCCCTACCCCTCTTTCCTTCCCCTATAGATTTATATGCTTTCCATGTCATTCTACTTTGATCCATTCTCTCTAAATGACCAAACCACCTCAGCAACCCCTATTCTGCCCTCTGACTAATGCTTTTATTAACTCCACACCTCCTAATTTCCACACTCCGAATTTTCTGCATAATATTTACACCACACATTGCCCTTAGACAGGACATCTCCACTGCCTCCAACTGTCTCCTCGCTGCTGCATTTACCACCCAAGCTTCTTATCCATATAAGAGTGTTGGTACTACTATACTTTCATACATTCCCTTCTTTGCCTCCATAGATAACGTTTTTTGACTCCACATATACCTCAACGCACCACTCACCTTTTTTCCCTCATCAATTCTATGATTAACCTCATCCTTCATAAATCCATCCGCCGACACGTCAACTCCCAAGTATCTGAAAATATTCACTTCTTCCATACTCCTCCTCCCCAATTTGATATCCAATTTTTCTTTATCTAAATCATTTGATACCCTCATCACCTTACTCTTTTCTATGTTCACTTTCAACTTTCTACCTTTACCTTTATATGTATATACTTCTAAACTGTTGTATTTTGGGCACCTCTGCAAAAACAGTGATTATAAGTGAGTGAGGTGAAAGAGTTGAATGATGATGAAAGTATTTTCTTTTTGGGGATTTTCTTTCTTTTTCTGGGTCACCCTGCCTTGGTGGGAGACAGCCGAGTTGTTAAAAAAAAAAAAAAGATTTAAATTACAAAGATGGACACTATTGTGCCTAGGCACTTCGGGCAGACTAATACTAATTCTTACGATAATTTGATATAGGTCATATTTGAGCAGTACATTTGAACATATTATTAGGTACTTAATTTTTTTAGGGTGTGTAGAAGAGAGAGAGAATACTTCCCGGTAAAAGTAGGTCTTAGACAGGGATGTGTAATGTCACCATGGTTGTTTAATGTATTTATAGATGGAGTTGTAAAAGAAGTAAATGCTAGGGTGTTCGGGAGAGTGGTGGGATTAAATTTTGGGGAATCAAATTCAAAATGGGAATTGACACAGTTACTTTTTGCTGATGATA